CCCCCCCCCCTTATATTTTCCATAAAACAAAATAACTTGGAAAAAGTTATCAGCCTAAAACAAGACTATATGCAATTGCTGCATTTTATTGAGGTATTTTTCAAGTATTCATATACTGATAACAGGGCATACTGATAAGAGAGCAGGCATGTGCTTAGAAAAGCATTTATTGTAATGCATCTTTCAGCAAAATAGAAAAATATAGAATACAATATATGTAAGGAAAAGCCCCAAGTAGTGTTATTTTGCATTGGTCTTTTGGCTGTTTATTTGACAATTTTAGCGAGGGCTGCTGCTCGTCTTTCTGTGTTCTTGAACAGGGCTCGAATAAAGCTCTTCATCTCATTACAGGAGAACTCCACTGCCAAAGGTCCTTTCCCCTCTGCCCACCTAAATAAGAAGAAAAATATGTTTAATGTGAGCTCCAATTAAATCTATGAACTTGATACATAATCCTAAAAAAATTAATGAAAAGCTAATAAAGGAATTACAGACAATTTCCCTTAAAATTAACCATATATAAAAGATTAAGTGTATCACCTGTCCACGATCTCCTGTAGATTAGCATTTAGCACCATGGAGATCTCTTTTAAGGTCATCCATTTCTTAACATAGACTGGAACCTCTTCTTGATATTTTTTGTTCTTGTTTTCATCCGGCAATGGATTGAAGACCAGCGGCCCTTCCTCTATGATGGTTTGACATAGTGTTCGCAGTCGCTCACCATCCACGTTAGAGATGTCCTGGAATGAGAGCACTTGGTTTACACCTCAAACAGTTAAGTGGTGTCCCCAAAAACAACAACAACAACAGCATTATGTATTGCCTTACCTCCAGCATCATAATTTTGTTAATCAGCTCTGATATTGCAGTATTGAGGAGAGTCCCAATGGCTTTGCAGTATATGTTCACAGGCAAGACATCTTGCCAAACTTTTCCCAACCTCCTCAGCTGATGAATTACCTAAAATAAACAATAGCAATAAAACATCAGTGACAAGCACTCTAGGCACAAATATGCTTATATACTGAGTGGATTTGTGGTGTTTGATCATACTTGTCTGATAGCCTTGCTGGCTACAGAGTAATTGTCTTCATCATCCAAGTTGGAGAAGTTACGTGCAGTGGACAGTCTCTCCAACATCTCAGCTTTTTGAACGTTCATTTGTGCAACAAAGCACCGAGCACCTTGTTTAAAAAGAGAACATTTAAAAAAAAAATAAGCATCTCATCTTGAAAATTGCCATGTACACTACTGTTCAAAAGGTTGGGGATGGTAAGATTTTACAGCTCAATAAGGCTGCATTTATTTGATCAAAAATACAGTAAAAACAGTAATATTGTGAAATATTATTATAATTTAAAATTACTGTTTTCTATTTGAATATGTTTTAAAATGTAATTTATTCCTGTGATGACAAGGCTGAATCCTTGTCTGAATTGTTATGCATTGTTAATTGTAATGCTGAATAAAAGTATTAATTTCTTACTGACCAGTTTGAACAGTATCATAAATGTCAGTGTGCCCTCACCTAGTCTTCTGAAGCCTGGGACCAAGTCAACAAAATAAGCCACGCCATCTTTCAAAGGAAGGTGAGGTTTAAACTGGAAACCCAAGGTTAAAAGGTGGTGAGCGATGAACATGCAGTTATTGTGTTGGATTGCAGCCAAGTGAGGCAACTTCAGGAAGTTGTCCCTAATTTATGAAAACAGAATCACATTAAAAACAAACAAACAAACAGTAAAGCAAGATTACTGCTATTTAAAAAAAGACATCAGCTTACTTGTGATATGTAGGCACAACATCATAGAATAGGTGAAAAATGTTTCTGACTGTGTAGAAAAGCTGGACTGCACTGCAAAAAAAACAAAAGACCACAATTTTTTGAAGTTCAGCTTCCAAATGGACATAAAAACATACAGTATCTGCTAGGGATGCAACGATTTTTCGGCCGAATTATTATTAGAGATTAACAGACGTTATTATTAAAGAGAAAAATGGCCAAAATAATGAGCCGAAAAAAAAA